GACCAGGATGGTCTCGATCTCTTGACCTCGTGATCCACCCACCTCAGCCTCCCAAAGTTCTGGGATTACAGGTGTGAGCTACCGCATCTGGCCTATAATTTTTTTAAAAAAGGAAAATAACAAGTGTTAGGATGTGGGAAAACTGAAACACTCATACACTGCCGGTGGAAACGTAAAATGGTTCAGCCACTAAAGAAAAGAGGCTGGCAGTTTCTCAAAAAGTGAAAACATTACCATATGACCAGCAATTCCACTCTTAGGTATATGCTCAGAAGAACTGAAAAAAGGTACTCAAACACATGTATACACATGTTCACAGCAGTAAAACGTCTATAAGGGTAATTTCTTTTCTTTTTTTTCTTTTGAGGTAATTTCTTTTCTTTTTTTTCTTTCTTTTCTTCCTCTGTCATCCAGGCTGAAGTGCAGTGGTGCAAACATGGCTCACTATAGCCTTGAACACCCAGACTGAAGCAATCCTCCTGCCTCAACCTCCCAAATAGCTGGGACTACAGGCATGCGGCACCATACCTGGCTAACTTTTCTATTTTTTGTAGAAACAGGGTCTCGCCAAGTTGCCCAGGTGGGTCTCGCCAATGTTGCCCAGTCTGGTCTCGAACTCCCGGGCTCAAGCAATCGTCCTGCCTCAGCCTTTTAAAGGGCTGCGATTATGGGTATGAACCACCCGCCTGGCCTGTGATGGTAATTTCTAATCGTGATCATATCTGGTCTGTTTACACTGAGCTGTGGACAGGCAGGAATACCTGTGTGTTCCACAGGCAGGCCTATCACCAGAAGTAGCAAGAGATAAGTGGCCGGGCACGGTGGCTCACGCCTATAATCCCAGCACTTTGGGAGGCCGAGGTGGGTGGATCACGAGGTCAAGAGATTGAGACCATCCTGGTCAACAAGGTGAAATCCCATCTCTACTAAAAATACAAAAATTAGCTGGGCATGGTGGTACATGCCTGTAATCCCAGCTACTCAGGAGGCTGAGGCAGGAGAATTGCCTGAACCCAGGAAGCGGAGGTTGCGGTGAGCTGAGATGGCGCCATTGCACTCCAGCCTGGGTAACAAGAGTGACACTCCGTCTCAAAAAAAAAAAAAAAAAAAGAAATAAGTGAGACTGTGTATGTGGAAGGATTGCAAAAACCTTTTATTAGATTTCTTGATTTGAACATAAATAGCTTTATTATAATTGCCTATATATGGGCTTAAAAATAGTTAAATTCTATCTTTATCCTAAAATTTAGATACAACCATTATAAGTTAATGGCAATTCTATATTTATAATTATTGTGTTAATAAAGAAAAATTATGCAAATTCAGTTAAATACATTAAAGATGGCATTTGAGGCAACTTTTAGGGACTTGCCAATTAATGTTTGGCATCCTGATTCGTGGGAGCACCTTGGAGGTTCCAATGCTCAGAGGCTGGACACAGGCACCTCTGGTGAGCATGGCGGTCATACACATGCTGGGAACCCGAGGCCACTGCCTACTTAATAGCCCACTTCCTATCCTCCCTGAGCACCAGGTTTGAGAAGAGAACGTTTGTTCCCAGAGAGAGAGAAATGTACTGCTGAATGGCAACAACAGATCCACTGAGCAAAGACAGCGCTAAGAAAACTACAAAGAAGGCAACTGTGTGACTAAAAATGGCCCCTAAGCCAGTACACTTTCGGGAGCTGAGGAAGGGCCAAGACCAGAACTACCAGGAGCAGCAGCATCTGGCACTCTGAGCTCTGCAACTTTTTTTTTTTTTTTGAGATGGAGTCTCACTCTATCGCCCAGGCCGGAGTGCAGTGCTGAGATCTTGGTTCAGGGCAACTTCTGCCTCCCAGGTTCAAGCGATTCTCTTGACTCAACTTCCTGAGGAGCTGGGATTACGGGTGCACACCACCACACTCGGCTATTTTTTGTATTTTTAGTAGAGACAGGGTTTCACCATGTTGGCCAGGGTGGTCTCAAACTTCTAACCTCAAGCAATCCACCCGCCTCAGCCTCCCAAAGTGCTACAATTACAGGTGTGAGCCACCACACCCAGTCTGCTACTGTTACTCTATAGCCTTCTTTAAGCAGAACTTTTACTCTACTACTTTACTTACTGTTTGCTACAGTTCTAGACACGAATTTACTGTATTTTGAGGTCTCGTTTTTAACTAAAGGAAAGGCATCTCTAATTATTTGAGAGAATTACTTCATAAAAGTGTAGTTTCTCGTCAGTGACTCGGGAAGGCCCTTGCTCACAGATGAGGCGTATCTATACCTAGTATAGCAGAGGTGGACTGGGTTCCTCTCACTTTCTTCTCTGCCTCCATTACACTAATGATTTGTTTTATGTTCCCTATTTCTATGATTTTAGTTGAACTACATTTTAGTTATAATTTAAGAACTGGAAACAAAAGTACATCTGCTGACAAAAGGGCGCTCCAAGAGCTGGAAAGCCCGGGGAAAACCAAAAAAGGGAAGCATCAGATAAACAAAAAGTCTCCTGCCGCAAGACAGCAACCACACAAATGGGGGAAAAAGCAGCTCCACATCCAGCCCAGCAGGGCAATCAGAGGTATCATCCAAATGATGCCAATAAAGGGAGAAGGGCAAAGATCGTGAACAGACAGGTGTGCCCTGCTGATAACAAGGCTTTCTGAAAATCCATATTCATGCAAACATTTCAGCATACTGACTCTGCTCCTGATACCTGATGCCAAATGTTCCACTGCGGGAAGCACCCTGGGCAAGTAACAGGAGGCTGGATTCTGACCAGACAGACAGGCAGATCACAGTCACACATGAAAAGCCCCCTTAGGACAGGGAGGGAGAGACACACAGACCAAGTGACTCAGGCAGACACCTAGGAAAGAACCTGATTAAATCACAGTATAAGACACGGTCTTAGAGCCTTCGAGAAACAACAGTCATTTGGGGTCCAGCATTGTCAGTATCCCTTGGTTCATACAAGTTAGGACTTTTTAAAAGTATTCATTCAACCCTTACTATATGCAAAGACACTGTGCCTCTTCTGGCCCAGGGCCAGAGTCCTGCCATCTGGACAGGAAGCAGGGAGAAGAGCCAAGGGCTCAGTCCACTTGACATGCAACCAAGTGCAGGCAGCACCTCTCCAGATGGAGGCCTCCCCAAGGCCACACCCGCCACACGGGGCTAGAGCCCCGGGGCTGTGTAAGGGGTAGAAGTTGTAAGTGTGATAAGGTTCATCTTCCTGGAGTATCAACTATATTTGAAGAAGTGAAAAGCTTAAAACATGGTCACACTGAGAGGCAGATTATAATGTTTCAATCAATTGTTAGAATGAAACAAGAGATTTCAAAACATACTGGATCTGCCAGGCACCGTGGCTCATGCCTGCAGCATACTTTGGGAAGCCGACATGGGAGGTCAGGAGTTCAAAACCAGCCTGGGAACACAGCAAGATCCCGTGTCTTTTAAATAAAAATGACAAAAGGGGGAAAAAAAAACAACACTGGATCTCACATCTGTACAGATGTGTGCCTCCTGGTGAGGGCGCCGTGCACCTCTGAAGCACTGTGCTGAAAGGCTGAGCCAGAAGGATCGAGCCTCTATATCCACCCAGAGGCAGAAGAACATGTCCAGTGGGAACAGCAAAGGCCAGAGGGGGGGAACTTCTGATTACTGGACAATCGGCCAGGATTCTCCAACGAATAAAACGCAAGGAAAACAGGGATGGGGAGAGTATTCTACTGATTAAGAGACTTAACAGACATATCAGCTAACTGCAAATATTTGGACCAGGCTTCAAACAAACTAAAAACACCAGACACTATTGGGGAAAACTGAACGGTACTATGATGATACTATGATTATAAATGAAATTTGAATAGCAGTTTCCTTGACACTTTTCAATTTATGAAAAATAGCTATGTATTAAATCTCATTTTGGAAGCAAACATTACAAACTTTTTATACTTATATTAATGTTCTAACATATGAAAGATTTATTATCATATATTTTTTGAGATGGAGTTTCACTCTTGTTGCCCAGGCTGGAGTGCAATGGCATGATCTTAGCTCACTGCAACCTCTGCCTCCTGGCTGGGATTACAGGTGTCTGCCACCATGTCCGGCTAATTTTTTTTTTTTTGTATTTTTAGTAGAGATGTAGTTTCACCATGTTGGCCAGGCTGGTCTCACACTCCTGACCTCAGGTGATCCACCCGCCTTGGCCTCCCAAAATGCTAGGATTACAGGCATGAACCATCGCACCTAGCCCTATTTTTTTTTTTTAAGGGACAGGGTCTTGGTCTATGGCCAGCCTAGAGTGCGGTGGCATGATCCTAGTTCATTGCAGCCTAGAATTCCTGGGCTCAAGTGATCATACTGCCTCAGCCTCCCAAGCAGCTGGGACTACAGGCACATACCACCAAATCCAGTTAATTATTTTATTTTTTTAGACAGGGTCTCACTATGTCGGCCAGGTTGGGCTCAAACTCTCAAGAGATCCTCCCATCTCAGCCACCAGTCACAAATTAAGAGATTGAAACACAATATTTTATTTTCTTTCAAAATCCTAGAGAAAGATGGTTAAGGAGCAAATGTTCTTGCATCAAAAGATGCAATAATCCATGAGGCAGGCCACACCTCCAGCTGCCTGCAGTGGGCACCTTCTAGAAAAGGGCAGGACTAAGAGATTTCAGAAAGCAGGCCTTTCACAGAGGTGCGGGCCACTACTCTTGGTTTTCCAACTTACTCACTCATTCGGGCCATCAAGTACAATGTCTATCATTTTCAGTTTAATACTGGTTTGAAAAAAAAAAAAAAAGAAAAAGAAAAATAAGGTCAGACAGAAACCAAAAGCAAGTGCCATGTATGTAGAAAGTCAGATACATCTGCTAAAGAATGGAAGGGCTACAGCCAACAACGAACGTGTTCAGGAGGTCGCACACATGACTTGATTTTTAGGCAAAATGAAAAGTTAACGGCTGAAGAAAGAAATCTACACAAAATAAAATTTTCTAGTGGCATACCTGTGTGTCATATGCTTTAAGGAGCAATATGGACGCTTGATCAGGGAGGAAGGACTTCAATAAAAAAAGCAGCGAAGCAACGCCAACCTTATCCTTCTTTAATTACTGTAGCAGAGTCCCTTACCTAGAAAATAATAATAATATTTGGTCAATTCTCATCTGGAAAATATTTACAGCTTTTAAAAATGAAATTTCAAGGCCAGGCACAGTGGCTCATGCTTGTAATCCCAGCACTTTGGGAGGATGAGGATGGATCGCCTGGGGTCAGGAGTTTGAGACCAGCCTGTTCAACATAGTGAAACCCCATCTCTACTAAAAATACAAGAAACTAGCCAGGTGTGGTGGCACACACCTGTAATCCCAGCTACTAGAGAGGCTGAGGCAGGAGAATAGTTTGAACCTGGGAGGTGGAGGTTGCAGTGAGCTAAGATCATGCCACTGTACTCACTCCAGCCTGGGCAACAGAGCAAGACTCCATTTCAAATAAATAAATAATTTTTAAATGTAAATTTCTATGACATGAAGAAATTTAAGATTAAACATGTTTAACTACTGTACATGCATGTGTTTTGGAGATTTTCCACATTTTTTAAATGGAACATGTATTATAAAAACTGATTATTTTAAAATTGCTTTTATCATGAGGTATTACTTAGAGAAAGGTGTAAGAAACATACATATACAATTTCATTAAATTATTACATAAATACCAGTCTAATTACCACCAAGGCCAAGGGATGGAGCATTGCCAGAACTCCTGAAAGGCCAGGTGCCTCTCTCTGACCCCAAACCCCATATACGTAAGTACTCCCTTAACAAAATGGTTTTTATTTGATTTGTTGAGGCAGGGTCTTGCTCTGTCACCTGGGCTGGAGTGCAGTGATGCAATGGCAACTCACAGCAGCCTCGACCTCCTGGACTCAAGCAATTCTCCCATCTCAGCCTCCCAAGTAGCTGGGACCACAGGAGGATGCCACCACACCCAGATAATTTTTTTTATTTTTATTTTTAGAGGCTGGATCTCCCTATGTTGCCAAGACTGGTCTGGAACTCCTGCGCTCAAGTGATCCTCCCACTTCACCCTCCCAATCCCACGCTGGGATTACAGGCGTGAGCTACTGTGCCTTAGCTTGTATGGTTATCATTTCCTAACTTTTCTTTAGAGATTTATCACCTAGGTGTGCAGTCCGACCAAACATAATTTATATAAAATCCATAAGCAGATGAAAATAAACAGAATCGATGAGGTAGGTGGATTGCTACATATATTCTTGTCTTGCTTTTTCTTTCCCTTTTTGGTTGTTACTGTGTCTGTAGTTTGTTTTCATTGCTGTGTAATATTCTACTCAGTAAATATTACTGAGAATGATTAGTTAATCATTCTCATCCTCTAGCATGGTTTCTGCTTTGGAGCAAATACGAACACTAGTACGAGTTTTCTGGTACAGCCAGCTCAAGCGCTTTAGGCTTGTATTTTTCTAGTGCACATACCTAGAAATATGACTGCTAGCTTATACAGTAAAGCCAAACTATTTCCCAAGGCAGCTGTAATGTACACTCCCATCAGAAGGGTACGAGAGAGTTTCTGTTGCTTAACTTTTTCAACAACAATTGTTAGACTTTTAAATTCCTACTGACTCCAAACAGAGGTATAATAGTATTCTAAGATTTTTTTTTTTTTTTTTTTTTTGAGACATGGTCAACCTCTGTCACCCAGGTTAGAGTGCAGTGGCACAACCATGGCTCACTACAGCCTTGAAACTCCTGGGCTCAAGAGATCCTCCCTAGTAGCTGAGATTACAAGCATGTGCCACCATGCACAGCAAACTTAAAAAAAATTTTTAGGCCAGAAGCAGTGGCTCACACCTGTAGTCTGTAATTCCATCACTTTGGGAGGCTGAGACGGGCAGATCACCTGAGATCAGGAGTTTGAGACCAGCCTGGCCAACATGGTAAAACCCTGACTCTAATAAAAATTAAAAGTTAGCCAGACATGGTGGCACATGCCTGCAGTCCCAGCTACTCAGGAAGCTGAGGCAGGAGAATCTCTTGAACTCGGAAGGCGGAGGTTGCAGTGAGCCAAGATTGCGCCACTGTACTTCAGCCTGGGCAACAAAGTGAGACATAGTCTCAAAAAAAAAAAAAAATTTTTTTTTAAGAGATGGGGTCTCTTAAAACATCTTTTTAAGAGATGTTGCCCAGGCCTGGCCTCAAACTACGGGTCTCAAGCAATCCTCCCGCCTTGGCCTCCCAAAGTGCTGAGATTACAGGCATGAGCCACCACACCTGGCCAACCAAGAATCCTTTATTATAGAATTTTATAATAATTTTGAATAAAGAATTCACAAAATTATACATCTGGGAATTACTGCAATGAAGATTTAATTTTGTAGCCAAATATCTGTTCACATTCCCCATAGTTTCTGTACCCTGACTTCTTGTCAGGTATAAATTCCTAGCTCAGTCCACCAGCTTCCAGAGGCACTGATTCCAACCCTTGGGCAGGGCAAAGCCTGTGATTTGCATCTGGTCATTTAGAGCATCTTACTCCCCTGCCCAGAGTTGGTTCATCTCTGAACACACAACCCAGGTCAGAATTAATGAGCCTCCTCTTCTCACTATTGGACTGAAAGAGATTCTCACTCTTTCCCAGAGAACCTGAACATGAACACATGGAGGAAGCTGCTGGGGAGGAAAGTGGCCCAACTGAACCATCTATAGCCAGCCCTGCCTTAGGTTTTTCAGTCGGATGATCAATAAACCTTCCTTTTATTTACTTCAAACAGCTAAGGTTGGCCGAGTGTGGTGGAGATGAAGTCAGGAGATGAAGACCATCCTGGCCAACATGGTGAAACCCCATCGCTACTAAAAATACAAAAAATGGTTGGGCCTGGTGGCGCCTGCCTGTAATCCCAGCTACTCGGGAGGCTGAGGCAGGAGAATCACTTGAACCCAGGAGGTGGAAGTTGCAGTGAGCCGAGATCGCACCACTGCACTCCAGCCTGGCAACAGAGGGAGACTCTGTCTAAAAAAAAAAAAAAAAACAAAAAAACCAGCCCAGGTTGAATTTCTTTCTTTTTTTTTTTTTTTTTGAGACAGAGTTTCGCTCGTTACCCAGGCTGGAGTGCAATGGCGCGATCTCGGCTCACCGCAACCTCCGCCTCCTGGGTTCAGGCAATTCTCCTGCCTCAGCCTCCAGAGTAGCTGGGATTACAGGCACGCGCCACCATGCCCAGCTAATTTTTTGTATTTTTAGTAGAGACGGGGTTTCACCATGTTGACCAGGATGGTCTCGACCTCTTGACCTCGTGATCCACCCACCTCGTTCTCCCAAAGTGCTGGGATTACAGGCTTGAGCCACCGTGGCCAAATTTCTTAAAATTTACATCAGAAAGAGCCCTCATTGATACAATCACATATTCAGAAATGGGTTTTAATCTTGTACTCAAGAAACTGTCTAGGTCGGGCCGGGCGTGGTGGCTCACACCTGTAATCCCAGCACTTTGGGAGGCTGAGGCAGGTGGATCATGAGGTCAAGAGATCGAGACCATCCTGGTCAACATGGTGAAACACCGTCTCTGCTAAAAATACAAAATATTAGCTGGGCAAGGTGGCGCGTGCCTGTAATCCCAGCTACTCAGGAGGCTGAGGCAGGAGAATTGCCTGAACCCAGGAGGCGGAGGTTGTGGTGAGCCGAGATAGCGCCATTGCACTCCAGCCTGGGTAACAAGAGTGAAACTCCGTCTCAAAAAAGAAAGAAAGAAAGAAAGAAACTGCATAGGTCAACCAAGGTAACACATGACAATATATGTATGTGTTTACACACATTCCCAGCATTCCTTCAATCATATTTTTTTTTTAATCTAAACATTTTTAATAGTTATAGGACTCGTTAAGGTTTTCTATTTCTTCTTCAGTCACTTTTAGTTAAGTTACATTTTGAAAGAAATTTGTCTATTTTATCTAAACTTTCAGATGTACACAGCATGATGCTATTTCCAATATCCTTTTATGATATCTTAACAGTCTACTGAATCCATAGCGTTTTCACCTTTTTCATTTCATTTCGTTATTTATACCTCTTTTTTCTTCCTTAACAGTTTCACTGGAGCTTTGTCAACTTTACCATTTTTTTCCCCTTTTAGAAAGACAGGGTCTCACTCTGTCACCCAGGCTGGAGTGCAGTGGCATGATCATAGCTCACTGTAGCCTCAAACTCCTGAGCTCAAGCGATCTGCCCTCTCCTCCTGCCCAAAGTCCTGGGATTCCAGGTGAGCCACCATGCCTGGCCCCAGATGGAAACTATTTAAGGCTGGGCGCAGTGGCTCACGCCTGTAATCCCAACATTTTAGGAATCTGAGGTGGGTGGATTGTTTAATATCAGGAGCTCGAGACCAGTCTGGGCAACATAGTGAGACCCCATTTCTACAAAACATACAAAAATTAGCTGGGCATAGTGGCACATACCTGTAGTCCCAACTACTCAGGAGGCTGAGGCAGGAGGAGACAGGGACTGCGGTGAGCCGAGTTCACACCCACTCCACTCTAGCCTGGGCACTAGAGTGAGACCTTGTCTCATACATATATATGTGTACACACAAATATATATGCATATATGTATATAATATATACCATGTATGTATATAATATATATACATATATGATACATATATTAAATGATATATGTATATATTTTATATACACATAATATATACATATATAAACAATATATATATAACTTTCCCACTGAATATTTTCTATCTGAACTTCCTTTAAATTCCTTTAGTATCATTCTGCTGGCAATAAATCTTAATGTCTCTTGGTCTAAAAGTTTCTCCTTTGTTTTTATTTATTTTTGAGATGAAGTCTTATTCTGTCACCTAGGCTGGAGTGCAGTGGCACGATCTCAGTTCACTGCAACTTCTGCCTCCTGGGTTCAAGCGACCCTCCACCCTCAGCCTCTCAAGTAGCTGGGATTACAGGTGCCCGCCACCACATGCAGTTAATTTTTATATTTTTAGTAGAAACAAGGTTTCACCACGTTGGCCAGGCTGGTCTCAAACGCCTGACCTCAGGTGATCTGCCCGCCTTGGCCTTCCAAAGTGCTAGGATTACAGGCATAAG